CCTTGGGACCTAAAAAATAATGTCAGGAGCATAGCTAAATTGTTCTATTAGAAGTACTCTCAGGATTATGAACAAAGGGCAACAGATCAAGATAGGAAGTTGAGAACTTTTTTTTTTTTAGTATTATAGGAAGATTATGAAGATCTGCACAGCTTCTGAGTCAGGAATGCAGGGCAGAAGAGTGAAATGGCCAATGCCACCTGATTCCTTTTCTCTGAAGAATAACTGCCTATCATTGTTTGGAATAGGGCAAAGATGAGATTGACTTTTGAAGTTGGTATGAGATTTCCACTCTGCATGTAATGTTGAGTGTAGAAAAGAATACATCTTTTTTTTTTATTGGGGAAGATAGAAGTCACTAGGTGATGCAAACAGTTAATGTGCTCTGCTGCTCAAGTCCTGGTGATCTGCTGCAGAAAAAATGAGCCACTGAAAACTCTATGGAGCACAGTTCTACTCTGACACACATGGGGTTGACATGCATCACAATCGTCTCAATGGCAACAGGACTGGTATTGGGCAAGATGGAGTCTCCCAGAAGCTGTGTTTTAGATACTGCCATTCTTGTACAGATGAGAGATGGCCTTGAAGTTGCAAAAGTTATTTAACCTGAAATGTGTCTGGGTCAAGACTGAGCACTATCTACAGTTGTTGACATCTGAGGCATTAGATCTTGAAAAAAAGGATGTTTATATAAGACATATAAAATTCAACAACAGAGCAGGACAGACCCAAGTGTTATTAAACACAAAACACAACTAAAATCATATAGAGAAAGTTTTGGGTTTCTTAATAATCACTGTCTTCTAACCAAAGTCAAAAGAAAGTCTCCTGAAATGTGATGAGGTGTACAGCAAGAGCCTTCTGAGCGTTTTGGGAGAAAGTGAACAGAAGAAAAGCAGTGTAGATATGCAAATATTCTATTCAAACCCAGGCTTCAGTTTTCCAGCCACTGAGGGTAATTAAGTGGTTAGAGCCTTTGAGCCTCTTCTCGACAGAAACAATCTGGGATTTGTTGCCTAGTTGACTTCATCCAGTCTAGTCCAGACCAAAATAAATCAAATTAAACATTCAAGGACACAAAAACCCAGACTTGTGTGATGCTGGGAGCTACTCTTACAGAATCCAAGGGTGAAGAAAGTCTAGGATTATCATGCAACGCTTGATACTGGAACCCAGGTGCTGCTCAGCATGAGTTCTTTGGGATCTAAAAGAACAACTACAACACCAAGTATTGATAATTTAACATTGTTTATAACACTTTTCTGGGCAGGGAGTTCAAACACCTTTACAGATGTGACCTCCCTCAGCCTAACCACACCTCTGTGAGCCAGCCTTCCCCAGACATCCCTTATTATCTATCACCCCCACATTCCAGCGGGAAAGAGAGTGGGTAAAGGGATTGGTTCAAGGTCACCCAGCAGATGGAGGCCAAACCCTGGGTAAAATTAATCTTGTGTCTTATCTTTCACAGGACTATTTATTTCAACATGTGGGTCCCAGGGAAATACCATGAAAATAGCTCTTTTCCCAGAATGTACCAGGCTGTTCATTGTGGCATCCCCCATACACACACACACACACACACACACACACACACAGAGCTCCCAGAGGACTTAACACTAAAGTTAAGGAAAAAGATCACATTTTTCAAACCTAATAGCTCAGGTTACTAAAACCCCACTCTCTAGCTGTGAAGAATAAACCAGATAATGTGAGTCGAACATGATCTTTAAACTAAAGAGTTGCACTCTTCTTGTTTTTCTGTTTTTTGGTGGACATTTGGGTTGTTTTTAACTTTTGGCTATTGTGGCTATACATTAGGTATATACCTTGGAGTAGAATTGTAGGGTCATACATACGTATTTTTAAAGGAGCCCTGGTGGCATGATGATTAATGCAATAGGCTACTAACAAAAAGGTCAGCAGTTGGAAACCAACAGCCACTCCTCCAGAGAAAGACATAACAATCTGCTTCCATGAAGATTTCCAAAAAACAAATCCACTGCCATTGAGTTGAGTCTAATTCATAGTGACCCCCATACGGTTTCCAAGGCTACACACACATCTTTACAGAAGCACACTGCCTCATCTTTTTCCCACAGAGCAGCTGGTGGGTTTGAGCCATTGATCTTTTGGTTAGCAGCCTAATGCTTTACCTGTGACACCACCAGAGGTCATTTCCATAAAGATTTGAAAACCCTATTGGGCAGTTCTACTCTGTCCTACAGTGTTGCTATGAGTTGGAATCGACTCAATAGCGAGGGGTATGTGGCACAGTGCATAAGGCATCTGACTGCTAACCAGAAGGTTGGCAGTTCAAATCCACCAACTACTTACTCCATGGAAGGAAGATGGGGCAATCTACTGCCATAAAGATTTACCACCTCAGAAACCCAATGGTGGTCACTATGTGTCAGAAGCTACTTGATGGCAATGAGGTTTTTTTGTTTTGTTTTGTTTTGTTTTTCTTTTTGAATGGCACAATGGTTAAGCGCTGAGCTGCTGATGGAAAGGCTGAAGATTCAAAGCCACTCTGTGGCTCCATGGGAGAAAAGACCTGGATCTGTGCCTGTAAAGGTTACAGCCTAGAAAACCCTGTAGGGCAGTTCTACTTTGTCAGGTGGGGTCACTGTGAGTTGAAATCTACTTGGTAGCATACAACAGCTTATTTTTTTACAACAATTAAAAAAAATTACACACTCCTAGGGAACATGAGGACCACCAGCCACTCCTCGGAAGGAAGATGGGGTAATCTACTTCCGTAGTAATACTGCCTCGGAAACCCAAGGAGGAGTCACTATGAGTCAGGTCCAACTCGACGGTACATAACAACAACAACAACAGGGAACATGAAATCTCTTTTTATCTACAGCTTTGGTCTCCTAGTTAGAAAGGTAATGCCAGATCTCCAACACAGGTGTATTTGGAGCGCTCACTTTGGACATTAACAGCTTCCCCATTCAGCACTCTGTGCCCTTTTAGTAATCAGTTTTGCAGAAGCACAAACAAAGAAGTCAACTGCTCTTAAGCACAAGATTCAAGAGAGGGGAGCTGGACCAGACCTCCATCAAGCATGGATTTCAGGAGGACTTTGCTCAGGCTTGGCCCAGATGCTTTGCAGCCAGAACAGAGGGTTCCCCATGCACCCCATGAACTCTGACTCACCTGCCCACAGCAAATATGCTCTGTGCTGCACAGTAACTCTTTAATGAGAGCACGTGGAACAAACAGTCTGTTTGACTCTCTTCTGGTTAGAGCACAGCTGAATGTGGGAGGAAAGGCACAGAAGGTGAGAGCAGGGTGGCAGTACTTACCTGGAGGTCCACCTTCCATTGTTTTCTTCCCTCCCTCTCTATTTGAGTTCCACAAGCATGCCATCTGGGCACCGATGGACACCCTCAAAGGGTATGCTGAATCCTTTTAAAAGACGTCTCCTGTATATATGAACTTTGCTTTTGCCTGAAGCCAATGTCACTTTGTCCATGTAAAAATGTCCATGTAGGTATTGCAGGTCAAGGCCTGAAACAGAATTAAAAGGAAAAAAATTAAAAAAGGTGTTAGCTACTTCTCAAATATATATCATTAAAGTCAGCCACTGGTTGGAACAAACTATTTACTGCCACCCCACACACACTGGTAGCATAGTGCCTAAGGCATTTGACTGCTAACCAGAAGCCTGGCCATTCAAACCCACCAGCCACTCCTCAGAAAGAAGATTGGGCAATCTACTTCTATGGTGATACCACCTCAGGTCACTATGAGTCAGGTCCGACTCGACGGCACATAACAACAACAACACCCACGCATGCATAGTCCCTTCGAGTTCCTTCTTTAGTTCTTAATGTGCCATGGAATCTCAGTGTCCAGAGGTCAAAGAGGACCCTGCTCTCATTGTCTCCTCTTGTGAAATAACATGGCCTCCTGGAGACAATTACAAAATGATTACGAAACATGGATTATGGAATCCTTTCTAAAGAAAAAATAGAGATGGGGACTTCTTGTGCACTTGTCTTCCAGAGACACACTACCAAAAAAATCTTTGACCTTCTTAAGGTTTTTGCCAAGTTCAACATGCTGATCACCAGTGTAGTCATCACCATGGATTATTTTCTCTACTGCTACTGAGGCAGAAGGACCTGATGAAGAAAAGTCACACAATAGCTCTGCTTCCAATCCAAGATACACATTTTGACAGCAATCTCTGCAGCTTCACAATCTTTTGACTCCTATGCCGTCTTTCCTAGCACATTCTCCTGGGAGCTCCAAAAACTTTGAGCTCCTCAAAACTTCTTGTCCCTTGCCTCCAACTCCTTTCTGAGCTCACTGAGCTTCTCTCTCTGGTGACTGTGCCCATCTTGTCATGTTTCCTATGAACCCCAGAAGTACAAAAGATTTTCTTGTTCCTAAGACAACCACCAAGGAAGGTTGGGCAATCCTACTTCCGTAGTGATACTGCCTCAGAAACCCAAGGAGGGGTCTCTATGAGTCAGGGCCAACTCGACGTCACATAACAACAACAACAACAAGACAACCACCACTCATGTGTCAATTTGCTGTACTATGGTTGCTTGCATGTTGCTGTGATGAGGGAAGCTCTACCAGCACTATTGCACCAGCAGGGCCACCCATGGTGGGCAGGTTTCAGCAGAGTTTTCAGAATGAGACAGACTAGGAAGAAAGGCTTGATGATTTACTTCTGAAAATTGGCGAATGAAAAACTTGTGAGTCACAAGAGAATATTGTCCAACTCACTGGCTTTGGACACATCGTCAGGAGGGACCAATCACTGGAGAAGGACATCATGTTTGGTAAAGGAGAGGCCAACAAAGTCAAGGGAAACCCTCAATGAGGTGGATTGACACAATGGTTACAAGAATGGATTGAGCATACCAACAATTGTGAAGGTGGCACAGGGCTGGCAAGCTTTTCATTCTGTTGTACACAGGTTGACATGAGTTGGTGTTGAATCAATAACAACTACCTAACAACTACATGTGGGCTCTATGGTTTAGTTAGTTAAAACACCTGTCTTATGAACAGGAGATACTGGGTTTGAGTCCCAGTAGGGCCTTGGTTTAAAAGGAGTTCTGGTGGTATAGAGGATAAAACATTTGGTTGCTAACCAGAAAGTCAGCAGTTCAAATCCATCCATCAGCTGCTCTGCAGAAAGAAGTTGGGGCAATCTACTTCCATAAAGATTTACACCCTCAGAAATCCAGTGGGGGTCACTACGAGTTAGAATTAACTCAATGGCAGTGACTTTAGTTTGGTTTGGTTTTGGTAACAACAACAAGGATAACAACTGTCCTCTCATTTCTGAGACCCCCCTAATATCTTCTTTATTCTGGCCTTTCCTGTAGCTGTTGCCTTTCTGCAGGTCTCCTCATCTCAGGGTATGGGAGTTTTGTGGGGGTGGGGGGTGGGGCAGTTCTTTGAACTGCTTCACCTCCTTCCTTCTCAGGCAACCTTTGACTCAAGTCATCTCCACCCACCATTTGTTCCCTAAGCACCTGTTCCCTTCTTACTCTCAGGCAATCTAGCCCACACCACACGCCTGAAACCAGAGCTATAAAATGTCAGCAGTCATCGTTGACCACATCCAGTAAACTTTTCTCATTTCTCACTCTCCTTTCACTCTCTAAAATACTTGATAAGTTGGTAACAACCACCCCACACCCCACCCTTGGCGTCCCCTGCTTTGATTTCTAGGGCATTACACCCTACAGCCACCAACCATCTGTCAGTGGATGTCTGTGTGTTGCTATGATGCTGATTGTGTTTCAGGCGAGCTTCCAGACTAAGACAGTCCAGGAAGAAAGGCCTGACAATCTACTTCTGAAAATCAGCCAATGAAAATCCTATGGACCACAATGATCCAACCTATGACTGATCATGGGGACAGCCCAGGACAGGGCAGCATTTTGTTCTGATGTTCATAAGGTCACCAAGAGTCACAGACTGAATAGATAGCCACTAACCACAACAATTACTACCTTCCTGAGAGTCCTTGGGTGTCACAAAAGGTTAACTCATCCAGCTGCTAACCAAAACATTTGTAGTTCAAATCCACCCAGAGGATCCTTGGAAGAAGGCCTGGCAATCTACTTCTGAAAACTTAGCCATTGAAAAACTCTATGGAGCACAGTTCTACCTTGACACATATCAGGTAGCCATGAATTAGAATCAACTCAGCAGCAACTGGTACTGGTACTGGTACTGGTATGCTCTCCTGGCTTTTTTCCTATCCAGGTGTTTTTTTCTTCCTTCTCTTTTATTTGTTCTCTTTCCAAAGGTAAGAGCAGGAGGTGATCCTTCCCCAAGGCTTATTCCTCATCCTCACATTTCTCTCATTCATTCACCTGCACTGAAATAACATATTGGTCCTCATTGCTGATAGAGCAAAAGACCAACTCTGTATCCTAGCATTTGAAGTCTTCTACATGACTCTACCCAGCCAACCTTATCTCCCATTCTTCCCTTCTACTGAAGCCAGGCTTCTCACTTCCTCAGTGAAAGCCCAGGTGTAAATGCTTTGTATCCACTCCCAGGCTCTACCCTGGCAATGTCTTTTCTACTTTCCTCCTCCCTATCCAAATCCCACTCTTATATTAAAGTCTACGTAAACTCTCATCTGGCTCCCATTTATAATGCACAGAAAACAGAGAAAGTGCCTTGTACCCTTGTATATCTCCTCAAAGCCTATGGTATACATATAGAAGCCAAAGAAAGCCAAACAAATTGTGGTGGTTATGTTTGTGTGCCAACTTGACTGGGCCTGGTTGAGTGGCTGGGCAGCTGATGGTAGTATTCCCCATGATAAGACTGGCAATCAACTCCATAGTGGGATCTACCACAAGCAGCTGAGTAGCTGCCTTTGGGATGTGGTCTGCTTCCTGTATATAAGGAGAAGCCCTGGGAATGGTCTCTAGCCTATGGCATGCTTGGACCCTGCATGTAGCTGTGTCGTTGCTTAGCAGCCTGCTATGCTCTGCCAACATTGGGACTTACAATGGACTTAAGTTAATGGCCTGCCATGTCATTTGGTAACATCAGGACTGTGCCTTTTTACTTGCCAACCTTGGGGCTTCTCAGCCTCAGCAGCCAGCAGCTGTCTGAGTGAAGAAATGCCTCTAGCTCCAGTGGGCCGGGAGCAGGAGGCAGAGCTGGACCCCAAGGTTGAGGGGCTTTCACCCAGCCCCTAGAGCTTGGCACTTTGAACTTGAACTTAAAGTCTCCAAATTATAAGAATAAACTCCTGTTTGTTAAGACCATACCATTTGTGGTATATTTCTTGTCGGAGCGGCACTAGGTAACCAGAACACATGTCAAAGATATTAAATGATACTCATTTAATAAAACTTAGCTAATCTATAAACACTTTTGTCTTGATCATTGCTACAATAACTATGAGGACATAGTTTTTTTTATGTATTTTTGACAAAATATTGCTTACTTTGCAAACATTGGTTATTATAATGTCTATACATTACAGTTTTCACTTCATAGTTTAGGTTTGCAAACTAGACTAAATAGACCTATTTGTTTCCTCTTTCTTAACTGCAGGATTAGGGTGAGCTGTCACTAGCTAGTGGCAGTGTGTTCCAGATGGTTATGTAGTCTGAAAAGGACAACTTATGCTATAGCCATGGCTTATCTGAGATGGTGAGAAGCAGACTCTCCCCTTTTTAGAAAAATGGAGCACTTTTTAAAAAACACTTAAATTTAAGCACTCCATGCAGCTGGAATGTTTCTTAGAAGCAACAATGGCCAGACTTTGTCTCTCATCCTTAGGTCATGTTGTCAGAAGGGACCAGTCCCTAGAGAAGAATATCATTCTATGTAAACTAGAGGGTCATTGAACAAGGGAGATGGACTGGCACAGTGGCTATGATGATGTGCTCAAATATGGCAATGATTGTGAGGATGGCTCAGGACCAGGCAGTGTTTCGTTCTGTTGTGCACAGGGTTGCTATGAGTTGGGACTAACTCAACAGCACCTAAAAACAACAACAACAACAACATTATACCAAACAGTAAGTTTAAAAGACAACACTGACATAGCTAGCTATTAGAGAAAACAAGCATTCATGAAAAAAAATTAATATATTTCTTTGTTGTTTTCTTAGTTGCTGTCAGTTCCAACTCATGGTAATCCCCAGTGTGTCACCCAATGAACTGCTCCATAGGGCCTTTAAGGTCATAACCTTTCAGAAGCAGATGGCCATGCCTGACTTCTGAGGTACCACTGGGTGGGTTTGAGCCACCAACATTTTCACTAGTTGTTGAGTGCTTAACCATTTGTGCCATCCAGGAAGCTGTAGTATATTTCTTACTCATCTTTCATGGTTAATTATTTCATTTAAACCTCTAGTCTTACTGCACATATTGATTAAAATGTCATTCTACAAACTACATATTCTGTATTAGAAATAGTCAATATTACCCCAATATCCAGTCTCCTCCATTTCTAGGTGGGCATTGCCCAGACAGCCTTTCAGCTAGATATGGCCTGTGAGTAAACATAAACAGAAATGTCCTGTCCAACTTCTGGGAAAAATCCTAGAAGCCAGACACCAACAAGAAGCTAAGACTAAACTACTGAATCAAGAGAGCCCTTGTAGAAAGAGATTTCATGGGGGTAGAACCAAGGCCTCTCAGTCAACAGCCAGACCCAAGCCCCAGACAATGACCTTGATGGATGTTCCAGCCCCAGGCAAGTTCCAGATGAATAAATCCCAAAGGCCCCACTGACATCTGGAGGACCAGAACTACCTAACTGATACATAGAATTGTACGAAATAATAATCTTGCTGTTTTAAGTCACAAAATTTGGGGATGGTTTGTTATACAGCAATAAATAACTGATACAAAAGATAAGAGCTAACCTTCATGGTTCTTAGACACAGGGCATAGACCCAGCCTTCAAAGCCTCCCTCCAGTAAATCCCTAACTCTATGGCCTCATTCAGAGAAGATGCCTTACCTGTGATTTCAGCCATCTCAGCCTAAATACTCACTTATCCCTACTCTTTGAGAGTACTCTTTTACATTAACTGATTTACTACATCCTTTGAGCTCATTTCTATTATTCTTTCTTATCTCTTGTGTGCTACCACTAAAGGAGCAAATAAAAAAAAAATAACTTAAAGGGAAGAACAATGAAAGTAATCCAAGTTCCAACAAAAGAATTTAGATGATTTTCTCCCACCAGTTGCTCTGCCAATTCACTATCATTAAATTTTTATTTTCCACTCTGAGTGAATCTCTTGTTACTAAAAATCAGCAGTAAAAATTATAATACTTGACCTTTATTGCATTCTTGCCATGTGTAAGGCACTGTGCTAAGTATTTCAAAAGTGTGATACCATTATATATGCAGCATAGTAAATTACATGATATGGCTTTTCTAGCCATAGTGTAACTCCCACTTTGCTTTGAACAACTGAGTAGCTGAATGTTAAAGTTATCCACCTGGTGTATTTCTGTTGGAGCAGAATGAAGCAATCTTCTGGGAAGTTCGTTCTTTTTCAGGTGTATAGAATTCTGATGTTGGGATTGGTTGGTTTTGGCTGCTCTACCAGCCTCAAAAAAGAGCTCTCTTAGAGTCAGAAGAGTCTCCCCGACTGCCGGCTCAGAGAAACACAGCGCTGAAAGAGATGTGCCGCTGAGAGAGACATGAGAGACACGAACTGCTGAGAGAGAGATGTGCTACTGAGAGAGACTGAGAAAAATGGCCAGCTGCTGAGAGGGACAGCTGGCTGCTGAGAGAAAGGCCTGGCTGCTGAGAGAGACTGCCAGCTGAGAGAGACTGAGCACATCCTGAACTTGAATTGTAGCTTGTTGCTTCCCTAATAAACCCCATAATCTGTGAGTTCTATGTGGCCACTGCAGTAAATTATCGAACCCAGCAGAGAGGTGGTGGGTACTGCAGAAGAAATGGTTGGTGTTAAGATTAGTAAGAAGGTTGGAGGGTGGTGGCACATCTGCCCTCATAAGAACAGACCTTAGGCTGCTGATGGTGATTACCCTCCTCTTGTGTAGTTAAAGGAGGTCAGAAGATGCCACCTCCTTG